TTTTTTTTTTTTTCAGCTTTAATTGAGTTTATTGGTACATTTTAGGGATACAGTACAGTTACATTCATTGTTGGGAATTTGTACCTCTACATGACATGTCTTGGTTCTTTTTTTCCCCTTGTCCCTACCCTCCCTTCACCCCCTCCTCCCCTCCCCATTTACAAACACTTTATTTCCATCTTTTCATTATCTCACATTTTTTTCTTTTCCCTTATTACCCTTCCCCTACATTACTTTTTATTTTAATTTAATTTTTATTTTATTTAATGTTGGTGCTATTAAATTATAATAGAACATGTAGAATTGCTTTGGTCCACGCACCCTTTTAAAACTTCTAGTAAAATTGCTAGATGATTAAGTATAACTTTTGAAAGATAGTATGAGCTCTGCAGAATTAAGAATTGTGCAGGCAGTTTATGATTACTTTTCCTTTTTAACTTCCTACCTCCTGCTGATTAGAGATGTGTTGGTAATGCTTTCTGAGGTGAATTACAATAGACAGATTTTTCCTTATAGATTTGAGTTCATTAAGTATAGTTCAACCTTTTAGTAAATAAAAATGTGACTATTTTGAATATGAAAACTGTTCACTATAACCTTTAGATTACATACAAAAAGTAAAATTTATGCTGCAGATGTGATTTTTGATAACTTACTATGGTTTATTTTTAATAACTTACTGTGATTTAATAACTTACTATGGTTAAGTACTGAGAAATTATAATTAAACAAATGTAGTAAAAAGGTAAGTTTTTTTGTTTAAAGCTTATGATATTAAATTTTACTGTAGCATTACATGTTACCGAAACATTTTCACTATATGAGTGTGTGTGTGTGTGTGTATGTATTATGTATGTGTGTGTGAATACACACACACATGCTAAAATTGTTTTTGCCTTTACCTTAAGGCACTATACTTGACAACATTATTAAAGAACATTTATATAATAGTTCACCAATGTTTTTAAAAACAGCAACAAACTTCTACCATACTTCAGTAGTGTTTTATTTGTCTTTTTCTTTGTTGACTTCTGTGAATTGTGATTTTTCTTTCATGGTTCATTAGTTTAATTTTTAGATTTTGTTTCTGTTTTTAAATGACTCTTCACTTGTGATTGCTTTTATTTTTGGAGACTATGACCTTCTGATCTTATTGTACTAATTTTTTGTTTTACTCTGCATATAGCTTTTTACTAGACTAATGATCAGAGCACATTAGGCCAGACATTTATATTACTTTGCTTTGAAATCCATGAATCATCATGGGCTCACAGAATGCTTACGGTGAGAGAATCTTGACACATTTTCTGTTCTGACAACAGCAGACCTTGCGCATCTCCTCATTTTCCCCCTCCAGTAAGGAAACTTCCACCTGCACAAGGTCTAGCAGTACCTCTGGGAACTAGAATGTATACATCTGTCTCCTCTCAGGAGCCTCCCCTCAAGCTCTTGCACCTAAACTAGACAGATTAACCCTTTTCTGGGCCCAAACCACTTCCTTCTCCCAAATAGAAAAGAGCTATAATACAAAGAGAAGAGGGAATAGTGTCTATGCATTATATTTTCACTTGTTTTCATTTTGTTATGTACACAGTGTTACAATGTCTCTGTGACTTCATTATCTGTAATAAGATCTTAAGAGCAACCTGGTTAGCCTTTTAATGATTTTCATGTCTTTCCCCTCTATTTTGTCAGTAGTGCTGTGCTAATAAAACACACCTTTGGCATTTTAATCTTTCAGTTGCATATCTCAGGGTCAGGGAACTATCTTTTTTATTTTAATGGAAAATAAAAAGAGAGGAAGGAAGGTTGTAAAGTGTGCAAAGAAGGTTGCTGGGCTGTAGATCCGACTCATAAAGCCCTGGGTTTAATCCATAGCACTGAAAAAGCAAAAAGTTACTATGTGTCAGTAATACCAGCACTTTGAGAGGCTGAGGCAGGACGATCACAAGTTCATGTCCTGCTCAACTTAGTAAGACCTTGCTTCAAAATGAAATAAGGCTTGGATGTAGCTCAGTGCAGAAGCTCTGAGTTTAATTTTCAGTACTTCACAAAAAACTTGATATTTAATATTAGTATAGTGCATTATTAAGTTAGCTTAATGTGAGAAAAATTATTTTCAGGAGACTCAAATCACAAACTAAAAGGTGAGAGATACCATTATTCTTTTAAATGGACTACTACTGTCATTTAAAGAAAACCTCCACTCTAGAAAGAGCAGTATTTACTAAAGAGATACCGCCTTTACTGGTGAACAAATAATCTAAACATGAAGACTGTACTGGAAGATTATGTGATTTGCAGCTGAAACACAAGGCACTTGAAGATATTTCAGTGTTTTAGATTCATTCTTACTCTTAAATGTGTCATTGTATCATTCAGTTATATTTTCTAGGAGTTAGCAGTGTTTCAAGAGTTAATAGCCATTTCATTATATATACACCTTATCCCAGCAGATTAATAGATGATGCCAATATAATATTGTAGCTTCAAGTTGGCAGAGAATTTTACTTGCAAAGATGGTGTCCTGATTTTTTACACACATCTGTAGACTGTTTTAGATCAAGTTTACATAAGTTTCTTATATATCATTTATATCTATATAGATCCCACCACTTAAAGAACTTTTAAGCATTTCCATAAGCTTAATGTAGTGTTTAGTCTGAGGGAACCGAGAAAAATAATCTTAGGTCTATATGGATACAACTTTTAAGTGAAAAATAACTTAATTGATTTAAATAAGGAAGCTATTGAGATAGTTTATGTAAGAAAATTATAGACTTTATGTGTTAAAGTACATCCTTTATCTTGTCTTTTAAATGCATACTTATTTCTACAGAAATTTTGAAATTGGACCAGCAATTGTGACACTGAGGAAGATATAAAAACTAGCATTAGTGTTATAGGTCTTTACAATTTGTATTTTGTTCCTTTAGAACTGTAGTTCATTTAAATTTTGTAAGGAAAATGGAATTAAGTGTGAAGTACATGTTACATTTTTAAATTTCCATGCTTAATTTTTTACTGAGACTGTAAAGGAAGCAGATGGATTATAAACCCTAAATGCTTGCATTATTTTAGAATGTCTTTAGATCTGAAAGGGATAGAGATTGAGAATAGAAGCAGAGGTTGTAAGCCTAAGAGTTTAAAGACGGGACAGGTGGAACAGTTGTAACAAAACACATAGTATTAAGGTATTCCAGTAAGTATAATCTAGAAACGTTATAAAAATTAATGTGAAAGCTTCGATTCAGCAACCATATGAGTAGCTACACACTCCAGATTGAATAGTAAATCTCCTATTTCTGTTTGGCAGATGCCTGTAACTTTTCTACCTGGTAATTTTAATCTCCTTTTAAATTTTTTTTTTTTTTTGTATTAGCAGGCGCAGCAGCACTGAGCTAAATCCTTGGACCCCTAGAATTCTTTTCAGTAGTTTTAGTGTATGAGTTTTTTTAAGCAGTATAATCTAAATTAATTTAACTATATATATCAGATCAACTTTAAGATAAGAATTATCATGTGTCAAGAAAGCTGACATGTACACACTAGCAGATGCAAAGAATGCTTGTGGAGTATCTTATTGCATGAGCAGTGCATATCGCATGTGTGTTAAGAAACATTGAAGGCAAGCGTGGTGGCATATGACTGTAATCCTTGCTACTCAGAAGGGGCCTGAAGCAGAAGGATCAGAAATTAAAGGTTAGCCTGGGTAGCTTAGCGAGTCCCTGTCTCAAAATCAAAAGAACTCAGTCATAGAGCATTGCCTAGCAAGGACAAGGCCCCGGAGTTCATTCCCTACAACTATAAGAAAACAGTTTTACTGCATAACGTATAAGTAGAAATGGTTGTCGATATTTTTTTCTAATGAATTCATACTGCTTTCCACAAATAAAAACAAGAAACTTCTTTGTATAAATCTCTGCAGAATTAAAAAAAAAAACCTTAAAAATTTGAGTTTTAGACATAGTGATGTTTATCTGTAGTTAAATATTATTAAGCTTGGTTATTCTGTTTCTCATCCTAGTTCATTTATTTCACAAAAAAATTGACTATTCATGTTGAGTGTGCCTTATCCTAAGCTGGGCCTAAAAATGCTTTGCATTTTGGAAATTTTAATATTTTGAAATATTTGCAAATATATAATGAGACAAGACCGAAGTCTAAATACAAAATTTGTGTTTCATATACACCTATGCACTTAGGCTGAAGATACTTTCATACAGTGTTTGTAGTGTGCCTGCATTTGTCTGCAACCTACTACATGAAGTCAGGAATGAAATTTTCAATTTGTGGTGTCATGTTGGTGCTCAGAAGTTTTGAGTTTTGGAGTCTTTCACATTAGGGATGTTCATCTGTATTATCTAAGGGAACACTTTAAACCCATTCTCAAAATAAACAGATCAACAATTTACACATTTGAAAAAAAAACTGTATGCAGAAATAGTAATGTGAAATGTAATGTGACTCAGTGAGAAGATCTAGTTAGCCTCTTATTCTTTTTGTCCTTAGCCTAAAAAGGTCACTTGGCTTCTTCTAAGCATTTCTCTTGTCTGTAAAATAAGATGACTAATACAAATGTGAAGCTTCTTTATAAGGTACTTACTATATTATAATGGTGCTCTCTGTTCTAAGCTTCATGAATATAGGGACTCTGACCACTTTTTTTTTTAACCATTGTAGCCTTGGGACCTAGCATACTACAAATAATAATGGAATAGTAAATAATTGTTTATCCTGCCTTTTTTGCATTGGTAAATAAAAGAAAAATTAACTGTCATTTCTAATAAAGTCATCATAAATTGCTGGTGTTGGTCCATAAACTTAATAAACTTTTAAATCTAGTTAAAATTTTTGCACAATCACTACTCTTATCTTTCTTGAAAGTCATTCAAACTGTTTTGTATAAGCTTTGAAAAGTTACTTTGTACTTATTTTGGATTTTAATGTTGCAGAAGCTTTCTCATAGGCTTTTAAGACTATTCTGTAATTCCAAATCCTTTTCTTTGAATGTAGCCACATGAAGTTTTGTGTTCAATGGATGTATAATGTGGGGGAATTATGTATCACATTAAATAGCAGTTTTTGTTGAATCAAATGGAAACAGTAGTAGTAGATTTCGTGAATTTCTGTTTCAAAAACTGCAAAAAGAAAAATATCTATTTTCCCCTTTGATTATCACTAGTAGTAGCAGTTATTAGTTCATCAGTCTATTTTGCTGAAAACATAAACAATTAAAGGGAAATATAGCTAAAACTAGAATCTGGTCCTGCCTTAGCTTCTCCTGAGCTAAGGTCATGAGCAAGTCACTCACCTTTTCTGAGACTATATCTCCAATACATAAGTCTTTCCTCACAAGAACTTTGTGGTCCTCAGATGACAGAATGGATAGTAGAAAGTGCTGTGTTAGAATTTTTAACTCCTTGATCCCATAGACCCTTTGGCCATCTGGTGAAGCTTATGGAGCTGTGTCAGAGTATTTCTAAATGCATAGACACATACAATTACCAAAAATTCCGATTATACTGAAATACTGTTATTAAAATGTTTTGAAGTAATAGAGTAGCATATGGTTCTTAAAGATTTTGATAAAAATGGTATTTTGGTTTTAATGCCTGAAGAAATGATGTTGAAAAATTTGAGATACCAATAGCAACATTGGTTTGTTGCTTCTATTTATAATTGAAATAAATGCCAAATATCAGTTGGATGTTAGGGGAAATAACGTGATTGTCTCTTTTCCAGGTTCAGAGACTCTGAATTCTGTGACCTCTTAAGTTCAATAACCTCTAATTTAAAGCCATATTTCTACTTCATGGTGTTGTATGTTTTTCAAAATGATATAGAATATTTGAAATTAGTTTCATTAATACCAGTTTTTGAATTTAAAGTCTAAGACTTTGAGTATTAAAATGGTTAAGAGCATCTCCAAAGAATTTTAAGTTTGGAGTACAAATCTTTAACTAGATGTGCAGCTTATATAATTGATCTGTTGTACATTTTTTTTTTAGAATTGTTATTTAAAGGAATTAAACTTCTTTTCTAAAATTATTACTAGGATCAGCCAAGATCTTGCTCTCATTGCTCGGGAGATCAACGATGTAGCAGGAGAGATAGATTCAGTGACTTCTTCAGGCACTGCCCCTAGTACCACAGTAAGCACTGCTGCCACCACCCCTGGCTCTGCCATAGACACTAGAGAAGAGGTAGGAGATCTTCATGGAGAAATGCATAAGGTTCTTTTCTTTATTTCTTTTGCTTTTAGCTTTTTGCTGAGTTTATTTTACTTATGTCTACCCTCCCTGTTTGCATGAAGCTCTGCATTTTCCAACTTTGCTTTAACAATTTCTTTCACGTTTTATAACAAACTAGTAAAGGCTAACATTTGGTCTACTATTAACATGAAGGTGTGAAATCATTTAGAATAATCACTTTGCCTGCTAATTTCTGGTCCAGAACTTTACTTGAAATGTGAATATAAATTTGAAAAGCAAATAAGAATTTGATAAATGATTGTATAAAGATTATATATGAAAATACTTGTTAAAAAGGCATTTTTATTGCTAACCAGTCAGTATCTATAATAGCAAAGAAAGAAAAAGTCTGGTTTTCACTACCTTAAATAATTATTTTGAATATATACAGACATACACAAGGATATTTTGATAACTGAAAGGTATATGTGTATACACTATACATACAGAATACTGTGGAATATGTTAAACTGTTGCCCATCCAAAACCAAGGGCTCCTACAATAAAACTCTAGAGGACACCATTTATACAACATTGTTCTAGAAGATACCTAACCTGTAAAATTAATGTCCAGTTATCTTTTGTTCTTCATTATTTATGGGTGATTGGTGCTAGTACTGTTCTCCCTCTGCAGATACCAGAATCTGAGGATGCTCATGTCCCTTACAATCAGTGGTACACTAATTGTATATAATTTATACAATCCTCCTATATACTTGAAATCATCTGCAAGTCACTTAGAATACCTAATACAATATGAATGCTGTGTAAATAGAATACTGAGTTGTTTTGGGAATGATGACAAGGAAAAAAAGTTTGTATGTGTTCAGTACAGATTTAAAAAAAAAATAATAATTCCTCAATTAGTTGCATCCCCAGATACAGAAGGAAGATTGACTGTACTCTCTAGCCCTTTTGGCTATATTGATCTGGGACAGAATGGCAAGCAAAAGGTTGGCATTTAAAAGGATGAACTTGTGTAGTTTGGGGGTTGGCAAACCACAGCCTTACTGCCTGCCTGTTTTTATATGACCTAAAAACTAGACATAGTTTTTGTGATTTTAAATGAGTGAAAATATAAATAAATAATAATTTACAATATGAAAATTACATGTAATTCACATTTCATTGCACATAAATCAAGTTTTAGCACAACAGGGCCACACACGTTTGTCTATGGCTGTTTCTATGCTGTGGTGGCAGAATTGAGTAATTGAAATGGAGACTGTTGGTTGCAAAACCTAAAATATTTTTTATCTTTCACTAAAAAAATTTTGCCAGCCCCCCTAATAATACTGATGATTTTTTAAATAGTAACCAAAAAATGGCTAGCCTTTTTGGCAAATTTAATTCCGGTAAACTCTACTTATATTTTTCTTCAGTTGCTTTTTGTCCCTTTTTTGTTTGTTTTTTAATGGTCACTTATTGTTTGTTTCCCTTCATATGTTGATTAATTTAATAAATGATGCTTCATCAATCTGTGTAGGGTTTTGTTACCATATTGATCATTTCTACTTGTATGTAAAACCGTCCTTCTTGGTAAAAACAAAAGGATCTTCTTGGTGGCAAGACACACACATTTCTCTGGTACATTTAAAATGATAGTGTTATTTTCTTAACTTTCTAACTAAATTTTACTTAACATGTTTGTACATTTACTCAGACCCAATAAAATAACTCAAACATTTCATTAAATAGACTTCCATTTCTCCTTTTTATTTTACTTCAGAGTATTACAGTAGTTTATTCCCTCTTCAGTAAACCCGTTACTTAGTATTGTATGTCTATATTTTGCACTGTAGATGGCAGTATATCCTTTTTACTAGAATGTGTGATTTCTATAGAATTGTTCAAAGTTTGACTAAAACTAAAATATTTATTACATGTAGATATAAATTTGTTTCCTTTCATACACTTAATTGTAATTTGCAATTAATGTATCTTATGAAGAAATTCTGCCCCTGGATTTGGGGACAAAAAAAAGAAAAAAACGAGATAGAATATTGAAAGAAACATTATTATTGTACTGGTAAGGCAATTAAGTAAAATGAACTCATTGTCCATCTGCATGGCTCTGTTTTTTTTTTTTTTTTTTTTTTCTTCCTATTAAGCATCTGCTTTTCATTTCAAAAAAATCTTATTCATGGAAGAATTGAATTTTAACATACTTTGGATTCCAAAAATAAGATCTATGTAGAGGACCATCTGTTTTATCAAGGAAATACTTTTGAAGTACTTACAAAAAGTAATTGGTTTTTTGAAGATGTCATGTTTATGTTACTACTTGAGAGTGAAATAACTTTTGTCTAATCATAAAAATTATAATGCCAACATCTGTACTTTTCCAAATTATTTTGTTCTTATAAAGGTTTGCTTTTTGTCCTATTAGTTGGTTGATCGTGTTTTTGATGAAAGTCTCAACTTCCGAAAGATTCCTCCGTTAGTTCATTCTAAAACACCAGAAGGAAACAATGGTCGATCTGGTGATCCAAGACCTCCAGGAGCAGAGCCTCCTGATCACTTAACAATTACAAGACGGAGAACTTGGAGCAGGGATGAAGTAAGTAAACAGTAAACTTTAACATGTAGCAGATGTATGCTCCATAAATGGGAAAAGGAGGAACTGTTCAATGAAAAGGGCTGAGGAAAAAGTTGGTAACCCTACAGAGGCAATGAAACTGTATTTCATTGTCATGTCACTTAATAAAATAATAAATTCCAAATGAATTTCTTCACTGACACAAACAAAGCTGATACTTTTAGCAAAAGAGTAGGTAAATACCTTTCAACATTGTAGTGCTAGTAAATACTTTTTTAAAAGATGCAAAAATATTTGACTTTAAAAGATAAATTTGAGTATATTAAAATTACAGACTTTTATGTACCAGAATAATTCAACAAATGTTGAAAAGATATAACCTTTTGCAGGATATACAACCTACAAAGGATTCGTATAAAGACTATATAAGAACTGTCTTAGTCACTTCCCTTATTGCTTGGATAAAATACCTGATACTCATGACTTATTTTGGCTCATGTTTCAGTCTCTAGTCAGCTGGCTTCAAGGCAGGATGGCATGGTGAAGGAAAAGTTGTTCATAGTACAGTGGACAGAAAGCAGAGAGAGTCAAGGGAAGAAGTGGGACAGGTGATATAACCTTCTGGGTCATATCTACATATCATATCTGACCTGCCTCTTTCACCCAGGCCCCGCATACTGACAATGAGTCAGCTATAATGCCCCCATAATCTAGTCACCTGCCAAAGATCCTGGCAGTCATCTCATGAGGCTTTAGGAGGTATAAACCGTAGCAGTCATTACCAAGGGAAAAATAATTCAATAGAGAAAAATCTATAAAAGATTTAAAAAGAAAAATCTCACCAAAGAAAATACTGGAAGTTTACAAAATAGAAAGAAAAAGTGTTCAGCTTCATAAGTGTTAAGCTACTGGAGAAATTGAGGTAAGGGGATCACCTAAACCCAGGTGTTTGAGACCAAGCTGGGCATCATAGCAAGACCCCATCTCAAAATAAATAAAAATACTTAAGTAAATAAGTAAAAGTGAATGTGTCAGTGAGAAATCAAAGAAAAGGATTATTGATAAGGTTTCTGTCAATGGAAAAAGAGATGAAAGGAGTTTCAGGGCAAATTCAAAGATATCTTTATCAGAGAATTGTTATTTCAAACAGCACCAGGAAAGGGGCTAATTGAGCATTATAAAGAGAAGCTGCAGGTTCAGAGGTAGGTGTAGAGGGAGAGCATAGAAGGAAAAAATGAACAAGAGAGTTGATCACAGGTGGGTGTTTTTGGATCCTTGGGTTTAAGTAATAGGATCTGAAACTTAGTATGTAAAAACATATCCATATATAT